CGCTTACCTATTTTCTAGTTGTCTTTTTTGGATGGTCCGAGGAGGAAGTGGGGCGTATCTGTATGTTTCTGAGGTGAGATAGGCAGAAGGTGCAGAGAGGGCCTGGAGTCCTGTAGCCAGTGCTGTGGTTTCTCGGGTGGCTGCGGAGATCGTGTGGTTATGCTAAATCATCGGCTACAGTCTTCTAAGCACGCCTTCCCCCACTCCCCCGGAGCTGGTGACCTTGCTCCCATGTGGCTAAGGACTTCAGTGAGTGGCCATGGTGCGGGAGGCCTTGAGGAAGGGTGGAAGGGTGGCAGCATGGCCGTCTCCGCAGCGGTCAGGTTGGAACCAGAAGCCGGGTGCAGGATTGCCTGTGGCCAGCAACGGAAGCCTCCGAGCCTGAGCACCCCCATTCCAGTCCTCTCCCTGCTGATTTCTCACAAATGCCCCCGCACTTGTAATTGTCGGCCCTTTCTCCTGTGGCCCCTCCAGCACCTTCAAGAGAAGTCCTGACGGGACTGGATAGTACAGTGGGTGGGGTGCTTGCCTGGCCTGCGGCTGACCTGGGTTTGATCCTGGGCACCGCACATGGAGCCGAGCTCCTCCAGGAGTGGTCCCAGAGCACCACTGGGTGTGGTCCATAAAACGAAACAGCAACAAAAGATGTTGTGAAAGCCAGGTTGGGCCTCAGCCCTGGGAGGCAGTAGCAGAACTTTGTCAGGCTCTGCTCAGGGAGTTTGGGCAGGGAAACACGTGTGGCTCCTGTGACTCCGTTTGTTGGGGGCCGCTGTGGGGGGATCACCTGCCTTTTGCTTTCAGGACAGGTCTTGATTTCGTGATTTCTCTCCCACCAGGTTACACCTCCTAATTTCTTAATGTCACAAGTGCCCAATGCCCCCAGCTGTCCCCAGGCCTGTTGTGAACTGCAGACACTGTCACCCAGGGAGCAGCAGTGTGTGGAGACGGTGGTCAACATGGGCTACTCGTACGAGTGTGTCCTGAGAGCCATGAAGAAGAAAGGCGAGAATATTGAGCAGGTAAGGGGTCCCAGACCTCGCGAGTGCCCAGGGGGCTGCTGTGGAGACTGTTCCCCAGGCTCCCGTTTCACACCACCCGAGGGAGCTCTCAAGGACGGACTCCCAAACAGTCTGGTCCTGAGTCTTGGCACTGGCTCGAGCTGTTTCCTTGGCAGCGTCTCCTGCCACAGCTGTGGCAGGAACCCCTTTGCAAAGGGCCCAGTTAGAAAGGGGAATGCCAGGCGCTGCAGCTGTCACTGAGGAGCCACAGGTTGGGACTCGCAGCACACAGCCCTGTCCTGTGCAGAGCTCAGAGCTGGGTGCGAGAGATGTCACCCTTGCTAGTCTGTGGTGAGTGCCTGGGAAGAGAGACTGGCCTGGCGCTGAGGGCTCAAACCTGTTTTCTTTCCCCAGATTCTCGACTATCTCTTTGCACACGGACAGCTCTGTGAGAAAGGTTTCGACCCTCTCCTAGTGGAAGAGGCTCTGGAAATGCACCAGTGTTCGGAGGAGAAGGTAAGAACCATCTGGAAAGAAGAGACAGGTCTGTGCTGTCTGGGCTTTTCGACCTGGAGACTGCAGACAGGACTCAGGTGAAGCACAGAATCTTCATGCCCCATTGCATGTTTAGCAGTTGGGATGTTTGGCTCAGGTGATGCATTAGGATGGAGACCGAGCAGAGCAGGGGAAGGATGGGGATAACTGGAGATTTGTGAGGCACTTGGTCCCCGCTTTTGGGGTGGATGTTTGCCACGGTGGGGCCTGGGGGAGGGTCAGGATTACTGGGACAGACGTGGCTCCTGATGGGTGATGAGCTCAGCATCAGACCTTCGACCAGGCTTAGGAGGACCCCTCGGAGTTGCAGGCTCCCCCTGGACCCCTCAAGAGGTGTCCCTGCACCAGGCGGGGCTGTGCCGTGGGAACACGTTTCTGTTTTCTCTCTTACCCTCTAGATGATGGAGTTTCTTCAGTTAATGAGCAAATTCAAGGAAATGGGCTTTGAACTGAAAGACATTAAGGAAGTTCTCCTGCTGCACAACAATGACCAGGACAATGCTTTGGAAGACCTCATGGCTCGGGCGGGCGCCAGCTGAGACCAGCCCCCCCCCTGCAGCCCTGCCACGGAACTACCCCTGCAGGCAGCCTTCCAGAGCCCAGCTGTGGTGAAGGAGAAGGGGCGCACTTCGGATAGTCTTTTTTTTGGGGTGGGGTGGGGTGGAAGACTGCTCATCAGTCTGTGAGCCTAGGCCCCGAGCTGGGGAGGAAGAGGGGGAGATCGGGGCCTGTGAATCAGGGGCCCCCTAGGACTTACTGGCTTCTTTCACATTAAACGCATTTGTATTCAAGAAGTGTCCTTCCCACCTTGGCCCTCCAGAGGCTCCCCGGGTTTCCTGAGCTGAAACCTGGCCTAACTGCCAAGAGTTGGGGAGGGGTGGGAGGGCCAGACTCAGTGCTGCTTTGGGGTGAGATGCTTCTCCCTCTGACACTGGGGAACTGAGCTCGGACCCAAGTTGAGTGCAATGGAAAGGTTCTGCCAGGGTTTTTCTTTCCCCCTTTTTAAACAAGTCTCTTAGTGTTACACTGGTTCTGCAAGTCTCTGAGGTGCAGAGTGCCTGTTCCCCCAGAGGCCCCCGAGTTTGCCTCTTCTGCCAGGCAGTCACCAATGCTTTCCTGTCCCAGCCTAGGCCACGACCCCAGCCACCCGGGCTCCCTGGGTCCCCCTGCTCTAGGAAGCAGCCGTCAATTGAATGAATTGGCCGCTTCCTGGCCCTGAGGCGGCGGGCACAGGCCCCGCAATGTAGTCGCCCAGCACTAACTGCACCTCAGTTCTCCTCGGAGGACAGCCTCTCTCTCCGCCCCCGCTCCAGGACACGAATAACACCTAGTCAGTAGAGATTGGTCTCTTTGGTTTGTTTTGTATTATGTTGTACATCATTAAAGATCTAAATACAAAGGATATACAGTCTTGATGAATCTAAAGTAATTTGCTAACTATTTTGATTCTTCAGAGAGAACTACTAATAAAAATATAAAAGGTACGGCCTGCTGTGTTCATTTTCTTCCGACCAAGGACTGTTGACTTCTGGGGGAGGGGGGATGACTGGGGGATGGTGGGAGCTTCCCTGTGGGCCTCTGCTGGAGTGGGACGGAGGCCACCTACTGCTTCTCTGCTGTTTCAGTAGTTCATTCTCGGGCCGTGGGAGAATGCAGAACCCTAAGCATTGCTGGATGTGGCCAGTGGGCAGGTTCTGCCCGCGCTTTGCTGGGTTCTGGTTGGCAGAGGCGGGCCCAGTAGAGGGTCTGTTTAAACCTGACTATTGAATATTTGGGCCCAGGACAGACTGATCACTCCTGCGGGACTGTGGAGGGGAACATCCAGAAATGCGGAAGAAGTTCCTTTTCCTGCTAGAAGCGTTGGTCACCGTGTGCTCTGCATTGGACAGGACTGGATTCAGACTACTTCGCCAGCTTCAGTGGAGCCGCAGTCTCTGATAAAATACTTCTGCTAGTTTCTTGTCCCATAATGATTCAGTCCCTGTCTCTAGTGCTCAGAGCTGGGTTCTGCTCCTGCAGAGCCTTTGGGCCAGGAAACGAGCAAGGCCACCCTCTGGTGGTCAGATAGGGCATTGCTGAAGTGTACAAAATTGGTCTCGAGTTGGAGAAACCAGTTTAGTCCCACTGCTGCCCTTTAAAATTTAGCCTTCCTTAATTTTTAATTCTTTAAACATTTTAATTTATTTGCTGATTTTCGGCCACATGCAGCAATGCTCAGGGTTTTTCACTCAGGAATTAAGGTGGTGCTTGGTTTTAGTCCTCTTGGAGCAGTAGTACAGTAGTAGCAGTAGTAGTAGTAGGGCGCTTGCCGTGCATGTGGCTGACCTGGGCTTGGTGCCTGGCATCCTGTATGTTCCCAGGTCCTGTCAGGAGTAATTTCTGAGTGCAAAGCCAGGACTAAGCCCTGAGTGTTGCTGGGTATGACCTACCTATCCTCAAACCCCCCAAACAAAACAACCTTGCAGAGTTACTCTTGGCTTGGAGAAAATGAAGGCATCACGCCAGGATGGGTCTAGAGCTGTGTCACATGACTCTCAGCTTGATCCAGGGTGGCCTTGGGAAGTGGAGGGAAGTTTTGTTTTTTTGCAAGGTATCAATCAGAGATTGCACCCAGAGCCTCAGACATTCAGGCTACATGTTACACCGCTGAGCCACAACCCTGACCCTGCTTTGTATTTATGATCTTGAGTTTCCTGCTAAGATACATAGCCAAGTAGAACTCAGACGAAGGGCAGGCTGTGTGAGGGCAGAATTCCGTGTTTGCACATCACACAGCTGGCCAGGGCCCTGGTAAGGTGGGCTGTAGAGAGCAGGATGGGCTGGCCAAAAGAGGCTGGGAGGGCACCTGCTTTGGGTCCTCCTGTTGGCTAAATACAAGGGTTTGTGGAAGATGAGGAGTCAGCCAGGAATTGAAGGACCACGGGTGCCAGGAGGGCTGGGGATGTGTAACTGGCAGAGGGGTCTCAGAGATGGGACGAGCACATGGAATGCGGGCGCCCTCTGCTGTCTTCACATGGGGTTGCACAGTGTTGGGGAACCGAGGGAGGCTGCTTCACACCTGCTGACCGTTGCAGATACCTCAAGGTTTATTCACATTCTCAAAGGAAACCAAAAAGTCCCCAAGGGTCTCGGCAACAGGATTCACCTGAGCCCTGTCCACACTCCGGCACCCTCCGCAGGTCTGGATTAAGGCACAGGGTTAACATTCTAGAGAGCGTGGCATGCTCTTCAGTTAGTAACCTCTAGGTTACCACCGAGCACCCCAAATTCTGATTCCTAAATTCAGGAGGAGGTTACTTATTGCCACGGACAAAGGGTACGACTTCCCTCCAGCCCTAGGAAAGGAATGGCCTTGCTCTGTATCTCACGGCGCTGCTCCTGCTTGGGGTCGCGGGGCTGGCTGCATCCCCAGGCTCCTGCCTCCCCCCACCATGGGTCTGTCCAGCCCTAAGACACCACTGTCCTCTTGGGGGCTGTGGGCAGCCTGTGGCAGGCCAGGTACAGCTGCAGCTGGCTCCTTAGGCTCTGGATGCACTTGGATTTCAGAGCCATGATTTCATCCAACTGGACCACGAAATCTTCGAAATCCTGAGGAAGGAAACAGGACAAATGCTGGGTCGGCTGGAAATCCCCAGCCCGTGGTACTCACACCCCCCGGCCTCGGTGCCAGGGCCTTTGGGGGTTACACGGCCTCAGCAGACAGGACCTGCACAGAGCCATGGCCTGGCATGGCCAACACACTGGCCGTGGGGAGTCTGACGGCCCCCGGGGACCAGCCAAAGCCACTTACGTGTGGAGCCAGGCGGCTCATCAGTGTCTCCTCCTTGAAGCTCAGCTCAGCCATCTCATCCAGCTGCTCCTGGTGAGCTCGGATGACCACCTGTCTGGAACCCCCAAGGAAGGCTGTCATCCTCCTGGCCGCCCATCTCCAGGAATGGGGGGCTTCCTGGGGCTGAAATCCATTTAAAGGCCAAGCACTCCCTCTACCACAGCAGCTTGGGTTGCAGTGGTCTGTCGGCCAGCCGCCTCCCCTCCTCACCCCAGCCCAGCCCAGCCCGGACACCAGCAGGACCTGAGCAAGACTACAGGGAAGATGGCTCTGGGCACTGCCATCGGCGCACTCACCTGCAGTCTCCCCGCTTCCCCCAGAGCAGAAGGTTTTGGCAAGCCGTGGGGCAGCGGCCTTCGGTTGGCCCCTATCTCCTGTCCCGGGCCCCCGGCATCACTAGCCCAGACAGTACAGGGGTAACGCGCTGGCCTTGCATGTGGCTGAACCTGATTCATCACCACACGGGTCCCTGAGCAGCACCAGGGAGTGAGCCCCAAGCACTGCTAGGTGTGCCCACTACCCCCCCTAAAAATAAAGCCAGGTGATTCACGAGGCAAAGGGGGGTCGGGTCCCTGCACAACCTTCTCAGTCCATGGCCCCGGCCCAAGCACAGCAGCTACAAAATCACCTGCCCAGCTTCTCCCAGGGCGCGTGGGGCCCACAGCAGGTACCCCCTGCCAGCCTCCTCCTCTCACTCCACAGACTGCCTGTCCTCTCTTATGGGAAAAAGCAGCACAACCCGAGCTGCCGGGTTTGGAAGGGACCTGGTCTGTCTTGGCTCCGGGACAGGCTTGCTGACGGGACAGATCCTTCTAGCAACCTCTGAGTTTCGCCAGGCTGAGGTGTCACTCCTCTCCTAGCGGGCCTGTCTCAGAGCACGTTACTGAGTGTTGTCATGGGGTGGGGTTGGGGGGCTGGTTTCTGGAAGAAGACTCACCTGCTTACATCAATGCAACTCAGGTCCCTCTCCCTCTCCTTCCACCCCTCCCACCTCTATCTCTCTGGGAGAATGAGCAACTTACTGTGCATGTTCCAGGGAGGGCAGAGGAAGTGTCGCGGTGGTCCTGAGAGCACGGGTGCAGGCCAGCGGAGAGCCTGGTCTCGCCAAACTCCTGGGGACTGGTCCCTGTTGGAGCCACACAGGGTCCTCACCGAAGCAGGGTGACCTGACGCAGTCTGTGGACGTGCGCTGTTCCTGCCAGCTGCGCCCTGCAGGGTAGACGCTCTCCTGGGCCCAGGGTGGCATGGGCTGCTTGACACTTCCTGCTGGCGGACTGAGAGCAGGCCCGTGCCCTCGGGGAGGGAGGCTGCCGAAGGGTGTTCCTGGGAAGCCCCCGGAGCTGCCCACTTCTGTCTCCTCAGCGTCAGCATCGTAGTGCTCGCTCGCCGTGGGCTCCTGGGGAAAGGACATCGTCTCCTGGCTCTGCCTGGTGGCCCCGAGGTCAGCCTCTCCGGCAGGGGGCTGATGGCGGATGGGGGACGGGGAGAGAGGGGGAAGCTCAGCCCCAGGCTTGTTGTCAGGAGGGGAGGAGGACAGCCACAGGGACCCCGTGGCCCGGGTCACCGGCAGGACTTCCTCTTGGTCCTCCAAGGATGCAGTGTGGTCCTCCGGGGGTCCCCTTGTGCCTGCAGTCAGGAGACTGTACGTCGTCCCGCTCTGGGCCAGCTGCCGCACGGGAGAAGCCCCCTCGTCGTCGGGGTTCTCCAGCAGAGACACGGTGAGCGGAGCCATCAGCCCCGAGGTGCAGTCAGAGCAGGAGCCGAGCTCCCCCCTGGAGCCTTCTCCGGGGGAAGAGTCGCTCGCCAGCCCTGCTCTGGCCGCTGGAGCGGGACTGTCCTCGCAGGCCTCCCTCGGGGAGGCGCTGGCTCCATCCCGCTGGTCCGGGGATCCCGACGTGGCCATGTGGGACAGTGAGAGGGAGAAACTGTCCTCGTCCAGCGTCTCCTGAGGCTGCTCAGCCCCAAAGGCGCCCTCGGTGGGGGCAGCAGCGGGGGTGCCTTCGCTCGTGCAGCTGTGCCCTAGGGACCCCTGGGGGCAGCTCGGCTTCTCTACCCGGGTGCCCAAGTTAGACGGCCCCGAGGAGGGGGCGTGCCAGTCCCAGGGCGCCTCCCTGGGCTCGAGTGCGGCTCCCCTGGGGCTCCTGGGGTCCCAGCAGTCCAGCCAGGCGCCCTGCAGCACCTTCCCGTCACCCTCTGGCCTGGGGCTGAACGACAGACCCTGTGGCCACCGCCGGTCGGCCAGCGGGCCCTGCGGCCTGGGCTCGCTCTGGTGGAGGAAGAAGGAGTCTCTGCTCTTGTCCCGGGGCTCCCGCTGCTTGGGGCCCCTCTGACTCGCGACGTGGGAGAAGGAGTCTTCGCTGAAGTCGCTGTCGTCGGGCTCCTCAGCGGGGGTGCCCTCCGGGCTCTCAGGGTGGCAGGTGGCGGGTGGCGAGGGCGCACGGTGGCGCAGGGGGCCAGCCTGGGCCCGGTACTGGCACAGGAGCTGCTCCAGGGGCTGGTAGTGGAGCTTCGGCTGCAGGAGGGGTGGCCGCTGGAACTGCTGGTGGTAGAGGCGCAGGTGGGCCTCCCTCTCCTGCTGCTGTGGGGGGACGCGGGGCTGGGCCTGGCCGCACGACAGCTCGCTCCGGGACACCAGCTGCTTCTGCACCGGCCGCACGGGCTGCACCTTGCGGCCCTTGGCGGGCAGCTTCCCCGGCGCCAGGCCGCGCCCGCTGGAGACTCCTGGGGGACTCCTCCCGGGGCAGGGCGGCGACTCCTCTGCCTTCTTGGTGGGGAGCTGCCCGCCGTGCATGGGGGCCTTGCCAGGGCTGCTATGAAGGCTCCCCTCCTGCAGAGGGCTGGCTCTGGGGACGCCTCTTTTCCCAGGGGCTTTGGGGACAGCAGCGAGAGGAACGTTGGGAGGGTGACTGGCCAGAGGCGAGGCCTTCCCTCTGCTGGAGCCGGGGGCCACCGCCAGGGGTGGCTGCAGGCCCAGCTTGACTTTTTTGGGGGAGCACTTGTCCCCCGGCAGGGCCCCGGGGGAGCTCTGGATTCGTTTTGGAGACATGTTCCCGGATGTCCGACTCCGGCCGGACACCGCCGAGCAACACTTCATGCCTTTCTTGAGTTCTTTGACCCTGCAAAGGACAGAAGCTGGTGAGGAGGGTTCCCTGCCACTCAGAAACTGCCTTGCTAAGCACACGGACGCAAAGCACGACAACGGTTTGGAGTCTGAGCTCTCCTGGGGAAGAACAGGGAAATGGAGAGACTCGGCAGGAACTAGCTCTCTTTAGCTGAGCCAAGGGCCACAAGCACTGACCGCCTGGGAGGCCCCCTCCCCCATGGGGGGGCAGGCAGGCGCGGGGTCCACTCAGGAGCCTCGTTCCCTGATGACCTGCTCTCAGGCTTGCCTGGAAAACCTTCCCTCACAGCCGCTGGGCACTTCTGGGAACAAAAGCCTGTTGAGAGGAGCGGCCACCGGGAGAAGTGAAGTGTCTAATTCATTACCAGGCTTCCCCCTTAAGCACAGGGGCTTTTTTCCCCCTCATTTGTTTGTCCCAGTGGTGCTGAGGCTCGCGCAGAGAAAACCCCAGTGAACCTTCTGCTTCAGACATCTCATCTCCATGCACCAGTCAGAGCCACTGGTGGAGGAGCTGTCTCCAGACGTTAAGGGAATGACCAAACCCCATTCTTCCCATTACTGACCCCACACCCCGCTCGCAGCAGGGTCCCTGCTCCCAGGATGGATGCCCCAGCCCACAGTGACTCACCGGTCGGCGTAACGCAAAGTATTCAGGGTGTGTTCAGTGGCCACGTGGCTGGGGGAGATGTTGGCAATCATGCAGGTTTTGGCATCACCGATGAAAGAGTCCTTGAGGACCTGTCCGGAAGAGGAGAACGGGGGTCAGCGATGTCAATCTGCTAAAGGGCATCATAATTCCTTACTATATGCAGGAATTATATTGTGTCTACCATAAAAAAGCAATTTGCCAAAGAAGAAATAAAAATGACCAATAAGCACAGTAACAACAAAGTCTCCAATGGAGACGTTACTGGGCCCGCTCGAGCAAATCGATGAACAATGGGAGGGCCTTTACCTTTACCTTTAATAAGCACACAAAACTTCACTTATCAGAGAATAAAGTAAATCATGAAAAAAGAGCATTTCAGTCACAGGATGAGGCTGACTGAAACCCTGTCCTGGGGAGGGTCTGAGACGAGGCTTTGAGGGGAAGGTCTGAGGGGAGGGTGAGAGGAGAATCTGAGGGGAGGGTGAGGGGAGGGCAAGTGGAGGGTCTGAGGAGAAGGTTTGAGGGGAGGGTCTGAGGAGAGGCTGAGGGGAAGGTGAAGGGAGGACAACCCTTCAACAGATTACAAAATAAAAGTACACAGAGGACATTTATTTCATTACAATAATAATGAAATTTGGAAAACTGGGTCTATAAACCAAATCATTATACACCGAATAATATAATCATTAAAAATGATCATACATATTGCTTAGCTACATGGAGAGATTTAAACCTATTTTTTTTTAATTGAAAGGTTTATTCGAAAGTAGTTAGGAAAGTGAAAGAAACTCCCCAGCTGGGGAGGAACTTTATCACAGAACATTATCTGTGATAGGAAAGGAAGCCAAGCAAACGCATGTGTTTTCAAAAAATTTTGGAATGGGGGGACAACCACATCCAGCAGTGCTCAGGACTAAGGCCCAGCTCTGCGCTGGGGGAGCACCCTTGGCGAGGCTGGGCTGGGTGGGGGGAGCACAAGGGGTGCTGGGACTGAAGGTAACACACTATCCACTGTGCTACTGCCCCAGTCCTGCGAGGGGGTGTTTGAGCAGTGCTTCGGGGGCTGTGGGGTTCTCAGAGATCGCTTATCCTCGTCTTTGTCCTTCTGCTACTTTCTTTATACGGTCTGAATTACTATATGTATTTGGGGAGGGTTGGTGGTGCTCAGGGGCTGCTCCTGGCTTTGTTGTGCTTGGAGGGAAGGGGGTTCTCCCGTGCTCCTGTACTGCATTGGGTATCAAACCTGGGCCTCCTGTTTGCACACGCTTAATCCATTTAGCAATCTCACCAGCCTGGAATTAGTATTCTTTGAAAATTAACTAGGGACACATTACCTGGGAATGAGAAATGTGTTTTGGAAAATAATAGGGTCACTGTCAGAATCAAGACCAGCCTCCTATCTGAAGGATTTCCTAGGGTCAGAGGTCTAGGTTGCTTGCCTGACATGTGTGAGGCTTTTCAGTCCCCAGATCACCAAAAAACATTAAAGACCCAAAGGGGCCACAGAGGTGGCACAGTAGGGTACCTGCCTTGCATGCAGCTGACTTGGGTTCAATCCCAAGAGCTCCAGGAATGATCCCTGAGCACAGAGCCAGAAATCAGCCCTAAACACAGAGTGTGGTCCAAAAACGGGGAGGGAGGTGGGGGAGGCAGGCCTGGGCTGCTGACTGAAATCATGTTCAAGAAGACACACTCTAAGCCACAGATCAGTTTTTCAATTTTTTCCCACAGATCCGTTCTGACTAGCTACATGAGCTTTTGCCCTCTGCTCTGCAGTGCAGCTCACCCATCTGCCCTGAGTGACCCCTCTCAAAGCACAGAGACGCCAGCCTTGAGCGCACACTGAAGGCCGACTCCCGGGCAGAGTGGGGCGCACCTAAGTCAGATGTCCTTAGAGGCTGATCTGACAGCAGCCAAGGTTTTCCATTAAAAATGCAGCACATTTCAAGGCAGAAAGACAGAAGAAAAAAAAATCACCTATCGTTCCACCACTCAGAATAATTAGTTAGCATTTGCATAATTTTCTGTGCATTTTTTTCTCATTTCATAATTTAAATTATAAAAACAGCAAGTGATCACACCTTACACGAATTTGTAATGTTAGAATTCCACCTTCGCCTTCATTTATTATTCACTGCATGTATCCTATATCAACTGCTTCTTTTGCATATTACTAGAATTTTCTCCTCCATGTGACTACATATATATGAAGAAAAAAAAATTTAGAATTACAAAGGAGGGGCTGGAAAGCCAGTAAGTCTGACCTAAATTCATTTCTGACACCAAGCCTGCCAGGAGTGATCCCAGACTGCAGAGCTTGGTACCCCAGGGCAGCATCGCATTCTCGGGTCCTTTTTTCCCCCTGGTTTTGAGGTCACAACCAGCAATGCTCAGGGTTTACCTCTGGTTCTTCACTCAGGAATCACTCCTGGTGGTGGGGGACCATATGGGATGCCAGGGATAGAGCCTGGGTAGGTCGTGTGCAAGGCAAACACCCTTCCTGCTGTACTATCACTCTGGCCACATCCTCAGGTCCTTGTATTGAACTACCCTCAGGACAACTGAGAATCACCAGGAGGGAACCCTGGGCCTCTTAGGCAATAGTTAATGAGTAAATATTTTTAAAAAGTGAAAAAAAAATCACAAAGGCAGGGCTGGAGAGATAGCATAGCATATAGGGTACTAGCATGAAGCTGACCTAGGTTCAATCCCCAGCATCCTATATGGTTCCCCGAACTCTGCCAGGAGTGATCTCTGAGTGCTGAGCCAGGAGTTAAGGCCTCAGCACAGCTAGGTGTGGCCCCCAAAACAACAACAAATCACAAAGACGGGGTAGAGACAGCTCAAAGGGCTGCACACGTGCTCTGGACTCCGGCACCAACCACAGGGTTCCCTGAGCACTGCTGAGAGTGGCCCAAAACCAAGTAAGTAACCAAAAAAACCCAAACCAAACCAAGACAAATCACGTAGGCAGCGATGACATTGCTTCTCTAGCTAGTACTTTCACATCACCAGACAGCTTAGCCATTTTTTCCATCAGTGCATGTCAGAAATCAATCTTGCTCCTTATAACTGCAAGGTTTTTATCTCAAAACACTGATCTAATTATGTCTTATAGTCAAGACAATGCCAATGACAGTGCTACTACCTCCTCTGAAAGCTCAGAGCCTGGGGCTGGAGTAATAGTACAGTAGGTAGGGTGCCAGCTTTGCACATGACTGACCCGGGTTTAATCCCCAGCACCCCACAGGTTCCCTGAGCTCCATGAGGAGTGATTCCTGAGTGCAGAGCCAGGAACAAACCCTGAGCACTGCTGGTATGACCCTAAAACCAAATCAAAACAACAAAAAACAGAGACCTTACTCAATCAAGTTTTCTTTTTACTGGAGATAAGAAGAAAACTTTGGGAGAGGGTCAGGCTAGAGCTGTTTCCTGCATAGAACCTTGAACTCAGATGCCTCAGTCTGAGCAGTCCTTGAAGCAATGGACTACCCTTGCTCCGAACCTCCCACCCTATGCCTGGCATCAATGCTACCTTGCTGGCTGGTACTGGATGTTCTGTAGAAGAAGGAACCGATGAGTGAGAGCGCAGAGCTCCCCTGGGACTTTACCTGAGTTAATTTACTTTGCCGGAATGGAGTGTGGGTATGTTCCTGATCCAGTGCTCGGATGCATTCCTTCAGCTGCAAAGAGGCAGAACAACAAGCACATCAACTACTGAATATTAAGCACAACGAGCCACAGGTTGAATTTTTTTTTCTTTTTTTTTTGGGTCACACTCGATGATGCACAGAGGTTTACTCCTGGCTTATGCACTCAGGAATTACTCCTGCGGTGCTCAGGAGACCATATGGGATGCTGGGTATTGAACCCAGGTCAGCCGCGTGCAAGGCAAACGCCCTACCCGCTGTGCTATCGCTCCAGCTTCTGCAGGTTGGATTTTCTTAAATAAATCACACTCAGGTAGGCCTCCCAAAGGAAATCAACAAGGATAACTTAGGAGTTTCTTGTTGACAAGAAAGTCCTAGACTAGAAACCTTGTCCTAATTTAGCTGTGTCAAACTTTAGCATTTGTGACTCCATGGAGTGGGGACAGACCCACTCAACGTCCGCCCCTCAGTCCCGGAGTCCAAGCCTGCAGCTCTCACTTCTCACTCTCCTCCCAACTCAGGTTAACAATACCACCCCGATGTCACCCCTCCTCCACACTACCACCTAGTGTAGATGCAACAAAGATCAGTCAGAAGTGGGCAGGAGAAATTCCAGAGTGAGAGCTGGGAAGAAACTGAGAAATCCCCTAGGTTTCGGCCCTTCCCACCTCCATTTCACGTACTGGGAGAGAGGAGCATTTGGTCTATACCGAGCACTGCTCAGAGGCTATCCTGGCGCTGCACTCAGGGAACAAGATACGGTGTGGATTGAACCAGGGTCGGCAGAGTGCAAGGCAAGTGCTTTAACTTCTGCTCTATCTTTCTGGGTCCCTCACCTCCACTTTAATTATTTTTGGTTTTGGGTCACACTTGGCAATGTTCAGGGCTTACTCCTGGCTCTGCATTCAGGGATATTCCTGGAAGTGCTTAGGGACCATATGGGATGCCAAGGATCAAACTTGCAAGGCAAGAGCCCTAGCCACTGTACTATTGCTCTGGCCCCAGTGATTATTTCTTCACTGTCACTGTCACTGTCCTCCCATTGTTCATTGATTTGCTCAAGCGGGCCCAGTAATATCTCCATTGTGAGACTTGTTACTGTATTTGGCATGTCGAATACGGCACAGGTGGCTTGTCAGGCTTTGCCATGTGGGTGAGATACTCTCAGTAGCTTGCTTGGCTCTCCCAGAGGGGAGGAGAATTGAACTCAGGTCGATCAGGTCAGCCACGTGAAAGGCAAACGCCCTACCACTGTGCTATCGCTCCAGCCCAATTATTTCCTAACATTATTAATTTGGGAGGTCATTAGGCCTATATACTGAGTAGAGAAAATAAAGTACACTAATGTTATTAGACTAAGAATTCTAGCACAGGAGCCGGAGTGATAATCCAGTGGGGAGGGCGTTTGCCTTGCACACGGCCGACCCGGGTTCAATCCCCAGCATCCCCTGTGGTTCCCCGAGCAATGCCTGGAGTAATTCCTAAGTGCAGAGCCAGGTGTAATCCCTGAGCATCACTGGGTGTGACCCCCCCCCCCGCAAAAAAAAAAGAATTCTATCAAAAAAAGAGAAATAAAAATTTCTATAAAGATTTCAGTAAAAGTCCTGAAATCTTAATTTTGAATTAATTCATTAGTAATCCATTTATTAATCATTAATGCTGATATATTTTTCCCTTTCAAAATATACACACAGGAGGATGGAGGAGTCTAGGTGGGGAAGGGTAACACTCGGACACTATTTGAGGGCAAGTGACACTGGTGGAGAGTACAGTTTTGGAATGTTTTATGCATGAAACTGCTATTATTATTAAACTTGCCCTGCGTGCACTGACCTGGGTCTGAGTCCTGGCAGCACATCTGGTCCCCTCAGCAGGCAGAGTGCAGAGCCAGGAGTAACCCCTGATCTGGCATCACTGGGTGTGGCCCCAGAACAAAAAACAACCAAAAAAGAAAACGTAGAAGATGAGTCCAGAGCACAAGGACATAGCCAAAAACTAGCAGGGGTGAATAAAGACGACACAGGAATATACCTGGAAAGGCTTCCACCGGGCCAAAGCTATGCTATTTGCATTCAACCTGGGGTCTGACTTCATTCCAGCGACACGCCATTTTGATTACTCTACCTTGATAGTAAGATTTAAATTTAGGGGGGTGGATACTTTCCATCTTCTTTTTTCCCCAGAATTGGCTTGGCTTTTTGTGGAGTTTTATGTCTCTACACACATTTTAAAATGTGTGTAGAGGGGCTGGAGCGATAGCACAGCGGGTAGGGCGTTCGCCTTACACGCGGCCAACATGGCCGACCCGAGTTCGATTCCTCTGCCCCTCTCGGAGAGCCCGGCAAGCTACCGAGAGTATTCGATATGCCAGACACAGTAACAACAAAGTCTCCAATGGAGACGTTACTGGGCCCGCTCGAGCAAATCGACGATCAACGGGAGGGCCTTTACCTTTACCTTTACACACATTTTAAAAGATGTCCAATTTAACAGGAAAAAGAATAATCATTACACTAAATTTATAATCATATCTGAACAAAAAATTCACTCATGCTGGAAACTACAGAATAAAGGGAAAGAATAAGGCAGTTATCTCATCTCCTCTGCTATTTCAGGAAAATCAGGTAATTAAGGGTAATTATTTCCAGATAATAAATACAAAAGGAATATCAGAATTAGGATAGGACTGGATAGTTAAGAGATTGAGGCTTTTACATGTGGCCGAGCCCCCTTCAAATCCCTGCTTGGTTCCCTGACCAACATCAGACTGAACTCTGAGCACAGAGCCACGGAGAGCCCCTGAGCACCCTCCCCACAAACAGAACTAGAGTGTCAATGTTTTGGGTGTGTGATACCTATGTGAACTCCTGTGGAGAACTATAGCTGAGGGTGTTGCGTGACCCCCCCAGAAAGCACCACAACTATGTGTGTGTGCAACATCCAGTCAACACAACGAAGGAAAGGGGGGAGACACTTGAAAAACACTGAAACCAGATGAATCTTTTTTTTTTCTTTTGCTTTTTTGGGCCACACCCAGCGATGCACAGGGGTTACTCCTGGCTTTGCACTCCAGAATTACTCCTGGCAGTGCTTGGGGGACCATATGGGATGCTGGGAATCGAATCTGGGGCAGCGGCATGCAAGGCAAATGCCCGACCCGCTGGACTATCACTCCAGCTCCTGAAAATCTTAATCACATTCTTTGGTTAACTTGATACACCCTAAAATATTATCAGCATGTAATCAATATTAAAAAATGAGATGGCGTTTGTTTTTGTTTCGGTGCCACACCCAGTGGTGCTCAGGGGTTACTCCTGGCTCTGCTCTCAGGAATTACTCCTGGCGGTGCTCAGAGGGATCATATAGGATGCCGGGGATCACACCTGGTCAGTCACCTTCAAGGCAACCACTCTATTCACTGTACTCTGGCTCCAGCCCCTCAGATGTGTTTGTAAGTCAAGGTTTCCGACAACTTACAGCCAAAAGACTCTGGTTTATTTCGGCGCCTTCCATCTTTGTCTGTCTGTCTGAGTCCCTGGCGTCTGCTGCTCTTTCACTGCCAGCCAAGTCGATGAAAGAGATCCTAGAGAGAAGACACAGCAAGGATGACTTCTCTGAGACACAGACTGATTTCTCTAGCGGTCAGTATTTTGTGACTGCAGGAAGAAATTAATACTGGCCCATCCTCAGGAAACAAAAGACACTATTTTCAGCCTTCCAGAAGTATGGCAAGATTCTGATCAGTCAGCGGTGACAGACACTGTTCACTCAGGCACTTCCACTGGGTTTCTATCATTTGTGAGAACACATGACTGAAATTAATAAACATATTCTTCCCATAAGGCTAAATGGCCACAATGCAAATCACTTAGGTGACCACTTAGATAATTAAATAGAAACTTTTGTGGGCTGCTTTCCAGCGCCCCCTGCCCCCCTCCCCAAAGAAGAAAGAAAGAAAAGACTCATTACTCAGAGGTGTGATAGGCTCATCCATCAGCCTGGCAGAGTTTGCTAAGATAGCACCAGAAGAGCAGTGAATGGATCCAATTGTCTTATGGCTTCTTTCAAGAAGGATGGATTAATTTTCTTTCTTTTTTTTTTTTTTTGGCCTGTACACCCTCTGAGAAGTGTTTCCTGCTATTCTTCTGCTGACACTGTGTTTCATGTTAGCAGTAATCAATGTCCCTTTTAATAACTTAGGGTTGACCAACAATAGGTCATTACTTCATTGTTAATCAGCAGATGGCACTTTCGTCCAATGATTTATTTCAGGGCTAACAACTCAACTCCGGATGCCTGAAATAAAGAACTCCATAGCGGCAGGGAGTCCTGTTGTGGATAGCACATATTTCAAAGTCGCATAAGGGGAAGGCGGACAATGCAATTCCCTGCGTATTTCCAGCTCACCTGCCAAACGTCCTCTTGGCTGAATCCTTGATCTGTATTTGGATGATAGCATGGGAGCGGGAGGAGTCGGCATTAACTCCAGTGGCCCCGGTGCTCCGCTCCTTGCTGCCTTTCAGGATCACCTGAAGAGAAAAGCCACAGGGTGACTTCCCCAGGGAGTAAACAAAGCCCTCTGGCTCCAGGGAATTGGCTACAAGCGGGAGAGGCTAGATAGATATATAACTTTGTCAGTACACTCTAGTTTTTCTCCCCCTCCATGTGGAAAGCTGCCGAAACACTAAATCATGTGGAATAAGTACCCAACAGCAATGAAAACAATGTGGAATACTAATCTTGGGAGAGAACATTCAATAGCTCAAGAGCTAATTTACTTCTTGATCTCATATGCTCTTTTTAATATCTTTGATGGATTTAACCTGACTAAAATCCCCAGGGCATAACTTGGCTTCAAAGCAAAGTCCCATAATCCCTATCTATCTTAGTAACTGAAACAAAGGACCGAAAAGTGCATCATGGAATGACTGATCACACCCACCTGTTCTACCAGAATGCTGTCATAACGACAGCCAGGCCTGATGCGTAGGAACATGAAAGTGATGAGTTATCACCATTTCCATAAGCCCATAATTTCCCTTGAGACTAGTGCCCCTCCAAACTGGAATAAAAAAAGTGGGTCCCTCAGGAGATGGGTATGGGAGAAAGGACTGAACTCTGGTCACTGGGAGCAGTCACACATTAACACATCCTCAACATGGGTAGAGGGAGAAGTGTTGTTTACTGAGGTTCAAGAAGGTTAAGAACATCAGAAATATTATTTGAGAGTCGGAGAGGTAGTGCTGGGGGCAAGGCACTTTTACATGGATGCCCTGGTTTGATCCCTGGCACCACATGAACCCCCAGTATCACTGGATAGAGTGCTGGAGATCCCTGAGCATCAACTGGCGCGTCCTGGATATATCCCTGCACCACAAGGCCTAAGCAGCGCCACATCCCCAGGACTAGCATTAAACTGTCAGCCTAGTTAGCAGTGGCTCCTGGGTCCCTAGATCCCACTAGGAGGGCCAGATATACTGAGGGCCAGAGAGATGGCTCAATGGGCTGAGCAGCATATATGTACATATGTCCAACATATACAAGACCCTGGGCTTAATTCTTGGTGTCACGTGATTCCCCAAGCACTGCTGGGTTAGCCCTGGTGCTCCCTGAGCACCCCCAGGCCAAACATCACAGAGAATGCCTCTCCTCAGCACTACTGGGTGTGGCCCCTATAAGGTATTATTTGGCAGAATCTGCACAATAGCTTAATATGAGGTAAGTATGATTATTATAAGCAGTTGACAGATGAGGAATAGTTAGAGGTTGATACTCACCTACAGATGTAATATGACAGAATCAAACCCTACAAAGTAAGGAACTTATGACAAATTCACTTATTTTGTAGCAAATTACAATATGGATGTGGTATTTCATTTTTTCTCAATCTCTCAGAATTTTAACTTGAGCATAATGAACAGAGCCTAATTTGAAAATTAAGTGTTCACAGAGTCAAACTCCAATAGAAGGCTAAGCTAACAACTTAACAAAAGAGGCAGGCTGCTTTCTAAGACATTCTGACAACTAGGCACCCTCTGCCACATGTGAGCAATGATGTGACTTCTGCTGAGACCTAAGAAAGCGCAGAGAGGCCTCAGGGTCCAACTCTCAAGAACTCTGGGGACTGGCAGAAAATTCAAACGATGGCCCCGAGGTTCACCCCCAAGGGAAGCTCGAGGAAGGCCGGCTTCTGGGGTTCTATTCTAAAGTTCTGCATAGCATTTTCACTACACCATGTTGTACTAGGGACCTGTGAGTGCTCAGAAAAATCTACTGGAGGGGCAGACTTTTCTGACAAACTACCTTTTGGGGAAGGCATAAGGGAATTTCTGGCCTTTGGTTCAGTTTCTTGAACTTCAGTAACAGCCTACGATTACTGTCTTTCAGAAACTGGGAAAAACCAGTTAAACTCTGAGGAGTAATATTGTGAAAAGAATCATACAAACTTTCTCTGTAAATGACATTCAACTCAAGTGAAGCGAAGAGGGAAATATGTAAATTTAGACTGGATGTAGATATCATCTTGGTTGTGTGAACTTTTGCAAATCACTTCACTTTTTTAAGAAATTGAGGTGAATTTCTTACCTCTGAAATAGTAATATCATTGGTTCTATTTACAGAGAAACTCTAAAAGATGATACATGTAAAGAACTTAGAACCATGACAAATACCCATACCTTTTTACTTCTTAATGTTTTGGACCATACCTAGTACTGCTCAGGGCTTACTCCTGACTTTGTGCTCAGGGGTCACTCTTGGAGGAGCTTGGGGAACCACATAGGGTGCCAGGGATCAAACCCCAGTCAGTCACATGCAAGTCAAGTGCCCTACATGCTGTACTATTATGGCCCCTCAACACTTAAAAAAAATAAAGAGCAAACATCTTTGTTCCCCAAAGTTAAACTATTTCTTTTCACAAATGTAAAATAATCAGCTTCATGGGGAGATAAAACTTTATAGATCAACCTAGGCTTTCTAGTGCCTGGGGAGAAAAGAAAGGAAGAAAGGAGGCAGGGAGGCAGAGAGGGAGGGAGGCAGGGAGGGAGGGAGGGAAGGAAGGAAGGAAGGAAGGGAGGGAGGGAGGGAGGAAGGGGAAGGTCAGTCCAGAATGATACAGGAAAGATTCAAGGGCACTGGGACCCAGCTCTGTCTACTCAGAAGGCGTTACCCATCAAACCTCAAGCACAAACAGCAAAGGGTTCTGAGTACTTCTGCAGTTTAGGCACATAGATAACTAAAGTCTGGTCTGGAGGAAACTCTTGCTCTTTAGAGTCAAGGCAAAACTCAGAACACAAAACAAATTTAGTAGAAATTTGGGAATAGGTACCTTTCCATAAAGAAAATGTCTGCAAGAATGACTTAAAAATACGGGGGTATAGTGCCGCCAGCAGGTAAATCTGTAACTGTGAGGCGAGTGCATCAGCAGCCTGATGGCAACGTTAGACTTTCAGATACCCCAAAATTGCTGCTGTGCCTTTGACCAGACCCCAAAAACTTGGGGCAAAGTTTACCAAGAAAGTAAACGGCCAAAAGTTAAGTATGTGGGAGACACACGCACAAACCACCTCCGGATCATTTATATAATTGGAGGCAAGGCCTCTCTGGTTCCTGATCGAACTGCTTAATGGCCATGATCCCAGAGTCTCAAAAACGAATCTCGGAACCCAAAGGCTTTTGGAAGAAATGTGTCCTATTCCTGCAGTAGGTTACTGGCGCTGGGCCACTCCAGGTGGGAATAGGTTTCGTGCCTTGGCCTGTTCCCCCTGGCGGCCTGGTGACCGCCATCCTCCAGAGGCCACTGGACAGTCAGGTTTGGGCCTGCAGTGATGAGACACACAGGGCCTCACCACATGGGGGTGGAGCCGACTCTTTCTTCCCATCCCAACGAGACCCCGAGTCGCCACCTACAAACGGCCTGATTAATAGCCATGATACCGGAGACTCAGATACAAATCTTGAAACCCAGCGGCTTCTGGCAGAAATGCATCTGGACTGCATACAAGGTGGCTGCCGGCTCAGAGCTTATTGGAAAGCCAGATATGAGCCAGCGGCGGTGACGGGGCAACTGCAGTCTCATGGGAAGGGGGGCGGTACCGGCTCATCCTTCACGCCCCACTGAGGTCACGAGTTGCCCCCCACAAGCGGCTCTTTGGCACAGCCATGGCTCCAGAGGCAAAAGGACTGAATCCAGAACCCGTCAGCTTGCGGCAGAAAAGTGAATGAACCATGTGTTAAACTACGGCGCCATGCCTCCCCGAGAGGGAAAGGGTATTGCTCCCTTCCGCCTTTTCCGCACCCCTGGCAGCAAGGTGGCCGCTGCCTCAGAGCTTATAGGAAAGCCAGGTACGAGCCGACAGTGAAGGGGCAACTGCAGTCTCATGGGAAGGGGGGTGGTACCGGCACGTCCTTCACGCCCTACCGATGTCACGAGTTACTCCCCACAAGCGGCTCTCTGGCACGGCCATAACACCAGACATACAGAAACCAATCTCATAATTATCTGGCTCTTTGCAGAAATCCAAAATCGTGGCTGCATGACATTATTTGATTCTCATAACCAGCTATAGAAAACAAAATATTTCAAAATGCCTTTTCAGCAATTCTGATTGTTTGGGGGAAAATTCTAAACAATAATGGTGCATATTTTGTTGAAATAATGAATGTAATCAATGTAGAGAAGAGTTAAGTAGAAATCATCTGCCTCACAGGCATTTGGAGGGGTGGGAGGGGGTATATTGGGGTTCTTGGTGATGAAAAATGAGTACTGGTGAAGGGAAAGGGGTTTGATCATTGTATGACTTAAACCTGAAAGCTTAGTAACTTTTCCCACAGTGATTCAATAAATGGGGTGGGGGTGGTGGGAAGGATATTGGAAATATTGGTGGAGGAGAATGGGCACTGGTGGAGGAATGGGTAAACGATTATTGTATGACTGAAATATGAAAGTTCGTAAGTTTGTAACTGTATCTCACAGTGATTCGCTAATAAAAAAATTTAATAAAAAAAAAGGAATGACTTTAAAAAACTGACAAATCGATAGAGATTGGACCATCAAGTAAAGGGTGCTAGGAGGGCCCACTCGGGATGGGAGATGCGGGCTGAAAGCAGACTATAGATCAAACATGATGGCCACTTAATACCTCTACTGCAAACTACAACACCCAAAAGGAGAGAGAGCAAAAGGGAATGCCCTGCCACAGAGGAGGGGTGGGGTGGGAGATGGGGTGGAGGTGGGGGTGGTGGGAGGAAGGCTGGGACCATTGGTGGTGAAAAATGGGCACCGGTGGAGGGATGGGTACTCGACCACTGTATGACTGAAACGCAAGCATAAAAGTTTGTAAGTCTGTAACTGTACCGCACGGTGATTCACTAATAAAAAATTAAAACAAACAAACAAAAATAACCCACCACTGACAAATCATTACAACAACTGATGATAAAATGCCCATCAATTTCCAGAGAGAGAGAGAGAGAATCTCAATTCCAAATCTGGGAATGGTGAGGAGTCAGTAAGGCCCCCTGGTAAAGG